TTGTGACTTATTTACTGCTTATTCTCATGATGAATTTTGGTAGTTGCGTATTGCAGGTGCGAAGAATTGAAGATGAACTGTTTGGTTGATCGCCTTATAGATTTAGGGCATTGGCCATTGGCGATAGCTATCTGCCGGTACATTAAAGAACCCTCAAAGAAAGGCATACACCGTGTACTCGCCCACTGGTCGCTAAAGAAGGTCACTTCGTTTACACGTGTTTTATTGTTGCTTTTGTTCTTCCAAGTTTTGAAAAGAAATTTGTTCTTGCCATTTTTTGGAATCTACAGTGGGCGTACTTCTGATATGATAAAGAGCTAAAAGATTGGAGACAAGTGCCTCGCCTTCACTTTCTTCAAAACCAGGCGAGAAATCTTTTTACTTACCTCATCGATGCAGTGGGCATAGCGCTGCTGTCATGCTGCAAACGTCGTGGGTTCAGCTTCGCTACTGCGGTGACCAACCCCTTTAGGATTTGTTTATTCGAGAAATTGTTACTTGGTCGAAGTCAAATCTGCCATCAGCACGCTCATATGCAACCCTCGAAAAAGGAAACCATCAGCAGCCCCGTTTGCGAGTGACTTGTTCCCAATTTTTTTACTTCCGAGAACCTCCGCCTCTCGCAGAGAGTGAGTGCGGAGGAATTTCAAATATTTCTTATTCGCGCAGTAGTGCATATTTTCAAATTTAGTAGATGAAATCTTAGTACAGTGCTACCGACCAGCATAAGCTTTTTACTGTAAATTGGGAATTAACTTGGCTGCTCTTGACAAAATTCGGCTATTCTGACTGTCATTTTTCATAGGGAGTAAAGCATGAAAAGCTTGCCATTTTTATTGTTTCTTTTTTTTTTGTAATGTTTTTTGTTTGAAGATTGAATCTGCGAAATCTGAAAAGGAAGCAGGAAAGACGCCTAATTTTAAAAGTTTATCAGAAGTGATTGCCAGCAAATTCGCCGATTACCCAGAAGTTAGCTTTGCAGGTTCGTTGATATTTCTGTAGCTTGCGATGATTGATAATCTGCGAAGTTTATGTGCCGATTTTTCTTGATGATCGGATCTGCCCAAAAGAATGTATGAGGCGGAGAGGAAGTAGAAAGGCATATTTTTTATATTGTGCTGGAAATAGTTTCTCTTGAATGAATTGCTGACGGGTATGGCATAGTGGCAAGTGGGGTAAATACTGTGCTGAAGGTTGGGGGTTCGACTTCGCCACTGTTACAGCCACCGACTTTTCGACGATAAAATATTGCTGGCATGTGTC